TGGGAACATAAGCTGTATATTTCATCAACACTTCTGGGAGTCTACAGTCCTAAGGCACCTGTCTTTGTGTAGCTGATGTAATTAACTGCCCTGAGAAATGAAAAATGAGGAATTTGCACACTATCACATAATAGTTCTACTCTGTATTTTGCCCCTTTATTTGGTTTTAAGTTTCTGAATGGTGTTGTCCTAAAATGTAACTTTCTGAAAACGCACTCAGACCCTCAGGAGTGAGAAATGCAATTCTGTGCAGCTCTCAGAAGAGAAAACACCAAGACTTTCCATGCCATTGGGGAGCCTGGAGAATTCTGCTCAGGTACACAGCTGACACACTGTTACACAGGTCTGAGTTCAGAATGCCCAGCATTTTTCCAAAATTCAGTGACCTTTAAAGAACATTGAATTGGACATCCAAAATAAAGAGTCTCAGAGGCATGAGCCTTTATCTACATTTTCTGTTAGCACTGTGTGCTAACACTCAGTGCCCAGAAAACGCTGCTGTGCAAACATGAAGGAAAGTCCTCATATATTTAACTTTTTTCAAGCAACATTAGGAATAGGTCACTGGGAAAATGATACATTCATTAATAAATTAACATAGCCACCCCCAACTCAGTTGTATAGGCAGCATGCCTGAGATGAGAAATGAGGCATTACACCACAACATCCACATCTGAGCATCCAGAGGACATCTTCATTGCTCAGTTTCTCCCATGTAACTCCATTTTCACTGCATCAGAATAACATCACAGGGGAGAAGAATCAGCAAACACGTCCTACAGGGAGCCAAAATGTGATCTGATGGCGGGTTTAGTTATTTGAATGAAAAAATTGGGCCTGGATCCAGACTTTCTAATGTTTGTAGGCATTTGAATGTAGAGGATCTGAACTAGCACGAGCCATCTTAACTGTGAGGAATTTCTAACCCCAAACTTCTTTCTCCCCGCGTTTCAAGTAACGTGCTTCTCTAATTTCAGCAACATGGAAGTTTGCTTTAATAAAATAACTTTCTGGTTTCTGACAGCTCTTTCCTCAGCATTTTGCAAATAGCCCAATGTCAGCTTTTTCAGTGATGCATCCACTTGCAGAGCCTATTCAGGCCTGCTGCAGTCACACTGGGATAGGCTGTCTGCAAGTTCCTTCTTGACAGCCACCCTTCACAAAGCAGGCATACATTCTAAATCAAGCTCTGACTATGAATCTACCCAACCTCTGACTACAAAGAGGGCTTTCAGTGCAGAATTTTATCTGTACGTTGTTGTGATATGACTGCTCCATTCACTGGGAAACAATTTTATCAATTTTAGTTAATCAAATCAAGAAGATGAATGAACAGAACGCTTTCTGTGAATCACAAATCTGAGCTGGACAAGAAATACCAGAGAGAATGTGAGATGTTTTCTGCTTTTGTAGTGTTATCAGAGATTAGGTCTTTGGGTAGAAACTAAACTAGAACAGCAAAAGCCATATTTGTGTATTTTTCAGAATTAGACTTTAGTACCAGGAACGTCAAGACACAAAGAGTAACATTTCAAAACACAGAAATTCCCTTCCACCTGTGGCAATCCCTCATTCTCTATTGTAACACTGAAACAAGGCTCACTATGAACTTACAGTACTGCAGCTCTAGAAAGAAGTTATGGTTATTACAAAATGATTTAGATCGCACCATTATAGTACACACAAATATGCATTAAAAGTGTTTTATTATGCTAACGTTCTTCTCTTGGGTTACTGTATATCAGAGAGATGTAATTATATCAACATGGTTACTCCATTACTACTTGGGGTGCTGAGCAACAAGCCAACATTCATCTTTGTAACTTTTATCGTGCTTAGGCTCTGTTTCTGACTACATATTTGAAAGGATCAAAATCCACTCTCGATGATAATTCCACAAGCATGGATATTTCAGGCAACACAGAAATGAAAAGTGAAATTGACTGATCTGTCAGGCATTGCTCAGTATCTGAACGTAAACATATTGCACAAAACCCACAAATGTCAGAATATGCATAACTGATCCTAAGCAAGCCTAACTTACAGCCACTGTAGACAACATCATAAGGTTCTGCTGACAACAACAGTTTTACAAACTGAAGTATTTAAGGACTTCACAGAAGCCTTGTGCAACTACGTGCTGGCAAGCAATACCTTCAGCAGCACCCAGAGCTGAAGGGATCCCAGTTACCATCCAGTGCAGGTGTTGTGTTTAGAGATGGGAAAGCAGTGTTTAGAGACTGCTGAAGCTTCCAAGTGATCTTTTATAAGTACAGCATTTCTGTGGTAAAATGAAGCATATTAAATGCCTGATGGCAAGACATCTTTTCATTCAGTTGAAGGAAAACCCTGATTTTGCTGTTATGGAAGTTCTACTTCTCAACATTTGTGAACAAAAGATAGCAGTTTCATTTTCCCTTAAGCAGTCGATTTGTTCCAGACCCAACTAGACTAATTCAACCTCTTCAATGCAGAGAACAAACCCAACTTTGATGCATACATCAACAATTCTCCTCCTCCCTTCCAGTACTTAAACCCACAAAATAGCCCGTATCGGAAAGAACAAATTCCAATCACCTGAGGCAATTATAAAACATATATACACACACAAGCATATGTAAGAATATCATCATTTTAATTTATACACACTTAACTCCCAAAATAAAAGACATTCAATAATTTGCTTCCCATCCTCCTCAGTTACCAAAAAGTTGCCACCAGCAATGTCCCATCAGGAATATAGGTTCTAAAGAGCAGCAGAAAGATGTCATGAAAAGATACACAGAGACCCAAATGAGACCTTTTTCCTACCCTTCAGGTCCTCCATTGCCTCATCTGCATTTATCAAGTAGTTCAGTTCCCTAGCCAAGTATCTTTATGACTTCAACTGCAGCTGCAAATGCAGTGTTGTAAGTTACATTAGAAGAAAGTATTTGAAGGCCTATGAAAGTATTTACAGAAAGACTTTTTATGGAAATCATAAAGAGTAGTGAGAATACAGTCAGTGCTGCAAGAGAACAGACAGTGCAGTCACACAATTAGCACAGCAGGTCCCCACTTTTCACTGAAATACAGCATCAGGGATACGTTGCTAACACCTTACCACCACAGACAAGGGGTAAAAAGGAAATGGGATGCTTTAAATAGCAGGTGTTTGCAAAGAACTGGCAGTGTCAGACACCCCAAAGTGACAACTCGTCATTTATATCAAACAGGACACCACCCTGGTAAGCTGCCATGCCTCCCAACCCATGGATTGGCTAGAGGAACCTGCTAAAAGGACAGTAAAAAGGGTGAGCTCAGCCAGTGTAAAACAATAAACTGAGTAGAACTGCAAAAATGACACGGGGAAGCAAAACGATGAACCACCGTATTTTCTTCAAATATTAAAAAGTTTTAATGTTAAGAATATCAGAAGCCCTAGCAATACTTCAGCTGGTTCCCCCTCTGCTCTTCACAAATTCAGCCCCATCAGATCACAAGAAAAGATTCAAAAAATCAGTCTGCTATTAACAGCTGACTTCAGCAGTTCAGTGCCATCCACTGCAACTGAACAAGCAGAAACAGTGCATGCAGGCAGAGACCACCTTCTTTATTGCTAGACTGTTTTCCTGGGTTTCTTTTTGTAGAGTTTCTCAACACTATGATTGCCACAAATAAGTAAAACAGAAAATAAAAAGCTTCCGTGCAGCCTAATTTTTTAAAAATATCTTTTTAAAAGAAATTGAGTGTTTTATTGCCCATTTTGTACTTATATTTTGTAACTCTGACAAAATCAAGCCATTTCTCAATATTCCCTAAGATTGTTTTGTTCTAAAACATAGTTTCCTCAGTACAAAAGACAGACTAGAGCCTTTTCATTCAGCTGTCCTGCTTTGTTGTTAATATTCAAATTCTTTTTACAGTGCTAGATTTTGCTCTCAAGCATTCCTGCTCTTTTCTCTGCTTTTTGAATCAGGCTATTGTACCTGAATTTCTATTAAAATTGCTCCAAGTAATGTACGTCCAGTTTTCAGAGACCATTTGGTCAGATTCTAATAACGCCTCCTGGGAGCTGACACCAACTTCCAGCAGCAGGTCGAAGGCTGTAGATGAGGATAATAAAACACATGCTGCTGCAGCTTCAAAAGCAAACAAAAACCACAACAAAAAAGCAAGTCTGCCTTTATCAAGCTGAAAAATCATGGGTTTTTTTGTGTTCCCCCCCCCCCTTTTAAGTAGAGAACGTACCATTGCAAACATTTTGATCCAGGTTCCACAATTCTTTTTGTTTTTATGACAATTTAGTGCATTTTTGCACTAAACTAAAATATATCTTTATTTAGACAATGCAGTAGTTTTTTCCTGTTTTGAAATACAAGAAATATATTTTTCAAAGTAAAGATGTTTTGGTTCAGTGCGTTGGGTTCTTTTTTCCTGAATTCTTTGTGTAAAGGCAAAATAAACAATATGTCCTGAGAATTATAGAAAACCACCAGCTTAACAAGAGGCTGGTTTTGTTCCTCCACATTAACACTGTCTTCGAGTACCTGCCAAGTAAAAAAAACTATATATTTCCCCTTATAATTCATTAATATTTCCTATACTGTTGCAACTATGAATCCCAGGTGGATTAAGGCTTATTTGACCTCTTTGGTTAAAGGCAATTCAGTGCATAATGATTTTTTACTGTACTCCGTAAAATGAACAATTTCACATGCATAAATGCTAGCAGGAATCAACATCTCCTGTTTCTTTCTCCGACCTTCAACAACCTTGTTCTTTGCAGAAAAAAACCAACAGTTTTACTAATTCATAAGCACTCTGCAGACACAGGCAGCCCAGAGAGAAATCTTTTCAGCAGTCGCAAAGAAACATGAGAAAGCTTCCATAAAGATTCTGAGAAATTCTGACAACCCAAAAGAATACAAGGAAAAAAAATACAAAAAAAAAAAAAAAAAAAAAAGAGGAGAAAAGAAAAAGAAAGAGGTGTGAAGATTTAAAATATTCCCAATACTCACTGAAAGCAGCCACTGCAAGAGCCAGTGTGACAATAATGGAGACCCAGGAAACCCACAATGCCTTCTTTCTGTAGCTTTGAGCTTCATGAGGTTTTAGCCTTGTACTGCTTTCTAGTAAACCTGATAAGCAATAAGCAAAGAGGGTATGAACAATACATTGCTCTTTTTAAAGGCACAGCTGCGTTAGTTCAGACCTAAATCTCACATTCACATTCTATATTACTGTTAGAATCAATACAGAATCAAACCCTCCTCACACGATCATGGTTAGGTGAATGAAGCCATCAAAAATGTATGAGTAAGCAAGCAAAGCACACACAAGCTGTTTTGATTTCACAAAGAATAGAAAGCTTGCACCTCAGTCACTTAAAAGAGCACTGCAACTGTACAGCAGTGAACAGAAATTTACATCACTGTTTTCCACCTTTACATCCACACAATGAAGGCCCCAGTGCTACACTCATTGAGACCAAAAATCATTTCAGGAATTTAGGATCCTGAACACAATAAACATAGGAGAAAAATGCAGGTCTGACAGTCTCTGAGAAGTAACCTACCAATGCACGGAAATACTGTGAGCATACTGCTCATCAAAGTAGAAGCAGGCACTCCTTAGAAGCAAAGCTATCACAGTTGAAAAGACCCCTTGAAGCACAGTCCCACATAGCAAGAAGATATCTCCAACCAGAAGCTGCATTAGGGACTGATTGAAGAACAGTTCTGGCCTTACTGCAATCAGGGTAAAAGTCTGCTAACAGAAGCAAACAGGACTGCTTTCTCTCATTACTGATGCTTTCCATTAGTGGAATTTTTTTTTCCACTTGTCTTAAATAGCAGAAAAGAATTCAAGTTAAAAAATAAAATAAAATTGCTTTAATTGGCTTTTGTTCTCTCAGCCTGGGTTTTAAGCCACTTTTTGGGTTGCATTCATAACCAAACAGGCTTGTCTTTTGTTTATCCCATCCAGATTCTTTCCTGCTGAAGATACTTATTTCATTTAAAACACACAAATACTTCTTTTTCACCAGCAAGTTGCAACTCAAATCTGCTCAGCTGGTAAGAGAAGGCACAATGATTTTTCACTTTCTTAACAAATTACTCCAGGAATTGTGGGTGGCTTTTCTCAGATGACTATCTCGCCTGCCCCCAGTGTACACAACACCAGTTTAATAATGCAGTCTTTCATCTGGTCTCACACCTTAGGCAAGGGCTAGAGAACAGGAGCGCTGGGGGACAAAGCAGATCGCAATCTAACAGCTGAAGCTGTAATATCCTCACCTTCCCCAGTTTTATCTCCAGTCTTTCTCTCATTGTCGCTTTGAGGGTGGGGACAAGCGATCTGCTTATGGGTGTACTCCTGACTCTACACCATGCTTAACTCAGTCCGTTAATGTTACCAGATATTAATTTCAACTGACCGTAATACGCTGGCTGTAAGCTGCATTGGTTTTGCAATCAATGCAGAAGTGGATCAGCCATCCCTGCCTCAGGGGCAGCATGTGTCAGTGAGGGGCAGGCGTCCAAGGGTAGGAACAATTTCAGCCACCAGATTTTATTCTGCCATTCCAAGCCTGTCAGAATGACCAGTTCTAATCCAAGTCTTGCTGGTCACATTCACTCCCTCTTGGAAAAATGTTTTATGCTTTTTTATTCCTGCAAGGAAAGTGGACAGAGTTTCTCTATGAGAGTCCAGAAAGAAACTGGAAGAATTTAATTTAATGCTGTTCCTGTATTCTCAGAAAACTCAAAATACTGCCTGCCTTTTGTACTACACCCTGCCCTCTTTATGAACAAAAAATGAAGGCCTATTATGAAACAGTGTTTGCTTCTTACTACGTGAGTTCTTCTTCTAATACCTGAAATCTACCAGATGACAACTCCGAAAGGTCTGAGTCCCTTACAGGACTGCACAGCCATTTCTTACACAGTCTGCCTTCACTTGTGCAAAGGAATGGGTCTGTATTTTTGCAATGTTTCACCTATATTTTTTCAGTATATATATAGAGTTTAATTGCTATCTGCTGTGAGGTCATTAAAAACAGATCTTGAAATAAAGAATTAATTTCTACTAATGTAATCATGCAGAGAGCACCTTCTTATGTTTGTGGTATTTTCCCCCTTCTCCTCTCTCCCCAGTTCAAAAATTCTAAACTAAGGGCCAAATCTTGTTGGAATGCAAAACGAGGTGGTTTTCCTAAGCCAATTCTGAGTATCAAGACCTCAAATCTGAAATAAACACAGAAGAGAATGGCAGACATCCTCACCTGATTCATTCTTTAAAGACATCCTACAGTTCATGGCTACTGCTCACTACTACCTGGGAAGACCAACATATACAGTTGATAATTACAAATCAAATAGTATCCTAATTAAATTGAGAAATGAATAATAAGCCCCATGGCTAGCATAGAACTCCTGATTGCTATTCATGTGTCGAGCACATGTCCAGTACAACAGAGACTGCAATCCTTATAAAACAGAACCACTTCTGCCGTGTGCGTGTGTGTCGTTCTCTCTCAAAATGGCTGGTATATTCCAGCTATCAGAGAGGTGATCCCTTCCTTCCTACAAGAATTCAAATACATTTACCATATTTAACATTTTAATCCCTTAGAAGGATCATATTGTTTTTAGGAGTGTCCTAGGGGATGGCATGGAATAATACAAACTCATTCACATCACTGCCAAACCCATAGCAGGATTCACATAACACAAATCAACACCAGCTCATTAATTTACACACAACAACACAATTCAGAAAGTAAACCTCCATAATTTTTTTTCCACTGACCATAAGAAAACAAATTTTAAGCAACCATTGGAGGCTGAAAGATATTCTGAAAGAACCTGCAATCTGCATTGCAACAGAAATGAAAAGCTAATATCTACTGTTAAGATTCTTCCATTCTAAAATTAACATACTGGATGTTTTTACTACCAATATTTTATTTCACACACAGACATCCCTGAGGTAAAGAAGAGATCATGAGCTGGTTAAATCCACTGGATTTTTATTTTTTTATTTTTAGTACCTTCCTATATTAGCAGATTTTCTTAAAAAAAAAAAAAAATCAGAAGTAGAAAAAACCTGCCTAACAGTTGCAGAACACAAGCTTGGCATATTTGTGAAGCAATTCTAGGATATTCTTTACCATATGCTGACTTACCAGAAGTACTTTTCTGTTTGGCTAAGAGATCATTTTAAAATGTCAAGACAGAATTTGTGGAAGAGATAAGGCAAATAGAAAATTGTTCATCTAAGACATTAGAAGACCCCGTCTGAAAAATTACCACTCATTCTGGATCTGCATCTTAAAGAGTAAATATCTTGTTCTAAAATTTGAGGTTATTTTTTATTTTTAGCAAACATGGAAGTATCATCTCTATAACTGGATCTGCTATGATTCATAGGAAAGGATCATTAGAAACAGTACAGTCTAAAAGGACAGACTGTAACAATTCCAATATGGACAACCTGCAAAAAGCATACCAGGATTTCCTCTACAATGACTGGGAATGATGCCTGTAGATGGAATTGGTGACCATAGGAAAAGTGATGAGAAAAAGATACTGCAAAGGCTACGAGAGAGCGTGAACACAGAGAAAGAAATAGAATCAGCTTTAGTCTCTTCTCACTCCAAGGAAGAGATAAGGCTATGTATATCAGATTCTCCCTTACAGGAATTCATACCAAGATGGCCAGCTTTCATCTTTAGCTCTGTCATACTGGGCACAAATTAAGAATTTCTGCACTTAAACATCCACATCTGAACCCCAACCAAAATCTGTGGTGCCTATGATCTAGAATAGAACCAAAGCCTCAAACTGCCCCGAGTCAAGATGTCTGTCCTCCGCCATCGGATGCCACAGCCAGGTTCCCCTGGGAAGCAGATGCCCCCAGTGTGACTGAAACCTGCCAGGAAGACGGTGACTGCTCTTCCCCACTGCTGCCCTACTTCACACCCAGGAGATGTAAGCAAGCACAACAGGAGTTTGTAGAGCTGGGGAAGAATGGGAGATACAGGTTTACATGTATGATGGGAATGTGGAAGTGACTTTGGGATGCTTAAAGAAAAAAAAGAGAGAGAGAGAGAAAGGGGGGTTGGGGGGCTGGAAGGAGGAATGCAAGAGAGATGCTAAGCCTGGTATGTGAAATAAAAATGGAGACAAATTGCGTGAATTGGGAGCCTGGAGGCGTTATGGAGGCATTACGGAGGAGGGTTACAACGGCAGCTGGCGGCGCTCCCAGGGGGCAGCAGGTAAGCCAAGAGCCACGCACACAGGGAACGGCGTCCAAAACCAGCGCCTTTAAGGCTGAAAGCTAACTGACGCGGTTTGGAAGCCGGCGGCTTTCCATCCCTGGTCAGACAACCAAGTAAATAACAAAACAACAACAGTTTCGTGGGGCAGGGGTAGCGCAAGTGCCACGACGGGACCGCAGCGCCCTGCCCGCCCCTCACAGCCGAGCGGCTCTTCCCGCGCAGCGCCGCGGCAAGCAGGCGAGTTTCGGTCGAGGTGGGAACGGCCACGAAGGGAGTTTATAAAAATATCTCGGAAAGGGAAAACCCGGGGTAGGTTGGAGGCAGGCTGACAAACGGATGCCGGCTCGTAGGGGCCCGGGGACGGAGCGGGGATGTGACGGGACTCGTCCCGAGGGAACCGTGCGAAGCGCCCACCTCTGTCCTCCGGCCCCTCGCCGAACCGCCCGCTCTCCCCGATCCGTAGCTGCTCCTGCTCCTGCTGCTGCTCCCGGGCAGGCACGGGCGGGCTGCTCCCGGGGGGCTGCACGATGGCGGGGTCAGGAGTGCTGTCCAGGGCGGCTGCGGGCGGCTCCATGGCTCGCGGGAATCGGGCGGCGGCTGCGGAGCGAGGAGCGAGCGGAGCATCCAGCCCCGGTGCGAGCCCGGAGGGAGGAGGAGACTCCGGCTCAGAGCATCGGGGAGACGAGGAGAGAACAAACTCCTCCGGCCGCTCCCCGCGGCCGCCTCATCGCTAACCTCGCCGCCGCCGGGGGTGGGGGGGAGCAGGTGGGAGAGCGGTGCCGCCTCCCCGCGCCGCCCGTCCCCTCCCCGCCCCAGGGAGCGGCTCTCCGCCCGCGGGTACGGCGCGCGGCCTCGCGAGGAGCGGCGCGCGAGGGGCCGTCCCGTACGGCCGGGCTGCCCTCGAGGCGGGCGGGAATTGTTTCTGTGGGCATCGGCCGGAAGGTCTGCTGTGAGCCGCCCCGGGGGGCCTCTCGCCCTTCGGAACCTGCAGGTGGCTCCAGCACCGTGGGCGTAATTAAGGCGGTCGGCCGAGTCGGTCCCTGGGGTGAAGGCTGAGGGCAGCGCTGCCGCGTGCCCGCTCGGCCCACCGGAGCCATTTGTCGCCATGTGCGCCCTTCTCCAGACCCCACAACGCAGAAATTTTGTTGTACTGACAGTCCTTTGTTAACAACGTTAGGCTAAAACCTGCCCTAAAAGGTACAGCGCTCTCACGGAAGGGTGAAGTTGGAGCTGGAGGCCTGCCGGCACCCAGAGGAGCCGCCAGTTCACTCAGCTGCCATTCCCAGGGCTGGGGAACAGAGGGAAAAAATAAAAGCCTTGGGAGAACAGAAGTGGAAAAAATAGAAAGTGTTACTGATAGATCCGTGCCAGAACTGTTATCTTCTACTTCTCTGCTGGTTTCTAATGACTAAATCGAGAGGTGCAAATAAACAGAAGCAATTTCCATGCTAGCACAGCTCCCAGTTGCATGCTTGGTAGCATGCACATAAATTTTGGAACTGCGTTGTGCTTGGACTTGCATTTAGGAAAAATATCAGAAGGCCATTAGGCACTGCAGCCCAAGTACTCCACTGATATATATGCATGTAATCTCTATTACGTTAAATAAAGATGAGACCGTCTTTCTCTCTCAATAAAGCAACAGATTTGGGGAGTACAGAAGGGCCAGGGGGAACCTAACAGTTATGCAAATGTATGAATATGATTTTATAAGCTGTTGATCTTGCCTTAAAAAGTTTTTGCAATGCTTTAGGAATGTCAATTTGGGAATGGTTCATGGAACATCACAATGGCTTAATTTTTCCTTAAAACACCTCTTGGTCCTGTAAGGCAATCTTCAAAATCACTTGAATGTATACTTTAAAATATTGATTACTCGAAAAATTAAACACCAGTGAACATTAAAGAAAGTGACATCAATTGTTATTTTAGGAACTGGCTGGCATTCAGGTAACTGTACAGAATGGGGTTGGCTGTCATGGTGAGAGGTCGGTGTTTGCTCTTTACATAATCTCTTGATTCCTTTGTGTACACTTTGCTGTGCCTAGGAAATATTTTTGAAGTCTTCACGCCCCTTTCATCTTCACCCTTAGCCAACCCACCCTGCTTTGTGACGCTCTTGCTCTACTAGATGGATCTACATAAATATGAATATAAGAAATACCTAGGGTACTTTTCCCTCATGTAATGGATACTATAGTACTATAGACTATTTGTTCTTACTGTCAAAAGTTTCTCACCTGCATAAGCTAACACAAGTGAGTTATTTTGGGGAAATGTTTTTTTGAGTTTGGGCTTAGTTGGGAGAGGTTGGAAACTATTGATTGATTGTGTTGCTTTTTTTTTTTTCTTAATTGGTAAATTATTCACAAAGGTTTGGTGACATTTAAACCTCCAAGATATGAGGAAACATCTGCACGTGTATGCATGTAAGATATGAATGAAAAGCAGAAAATACCTTTTATTTTCTCAAAGTAACTGCCACTTAAAATGTGTTTGTAAAGAAATGAAGATCCTTAAATAAGCAGAACCAGTTTAGTAGGCTTGTGAGAGACAAGGGATCAGGGTCTTTTCAGGATCTGGCAAGGATACAAGTACTTCTGGGAGGTATGCTTCTGTGTGGAGTTCATACAGTCCCTTGAAATTGCTTTAAGGGGTTTAATGCTCCCTATCTATTGCAGGATCCTTTCTCTTCTAGGGAGATGTGTCCATTCCTTTCATCAATGGGAGATAGACTAGCAACTCTCATCAAACAATACCTCCTTTCTGTAAGTCTGTCTAAACTACTTTAGCATTTTTATAACTTACAGAAATGGTCCCAAGAGGAAAGTACCTGGAGATTCCTAATTCAGCTTCTTTACAAGGAAGTTAAAGCAGTAGGTTTCCAAATGATCTGAGTGGAAAAAACAAGGTGCCAAGAAGACCTCACCACAATTTTCAACTTTCATATATTCCTTCTTTTTTTAGATGTTCTCAGCTGCTGTTCTTACAGACTGGCAGGGTCTGCAGCTGTCTCTGGATAAATGCTGTAGTGTTCACGCTATAGCAAAGAATGAGGCTTGCAAAGAATATTAGTGTTGTTTTTTTGTTGTTTTGGTTTTTTTTTTTTTAATTTCTCTATTCAGTAGTTTGAAACATGGCCTCATGTGAGAAATGATGTACTCAGCCTTATACAAATACAAAGTTGCTACTTTAAGCAGCTCCACAATGGAGAGGCATTCAGATCAGGCAATTATTTATATAAGCTAACTACAAAAAATCAGAAAGACCACCATGCCTCAGAAGCTGGAAACTGCTTTCCTTTCCAGCACTGCTTGCTATGTCTCACAATAGCTCCTTTACCCAAAGTATATTCCATTGGATAAAAAAAAAGTAGAGTTGGGGGTTTAAAGGCCTGAGTCTGATTTTCCAGCCCTGTTGTACTTCTTGTGTAGCAAGTGTGTACACAAAGATAATTAAGAGAAAAAGGCCCGACCATAATAATTATATAATATTATTTCTTGGCCCCTTGAATATCCTTTTGTTGGGTATGAACAAGAACAAAGTAAAAGGAAAGGAACCATTTCCCTGGGTTCATTCTGGGTAGACTGATACCATGCCAAACGCTGCAGCTGCTGCAAGATTAATACACACAGAATTTTGCTCTGTTAGAACCACCTGCAATTTCCATAGCATTCTGGCTTCCATGAAATGGTGGCTCCAAACAAAATGGAGCCCTCTTGCACTACAGCAACCAGAAAAGATGAAAACAAGCAGGAGTTTTCATCATCTGGATTATCTGTAGTCTGGTTTTGCTGAGGTTATTTGTGGTGGTGGTTTGTACTTTCTTCCTTTCTAACCTTCCTCCTTCTTTCTTCTGAATAAAGGAAAAACCACTCTCAGATTTGAGCTTTTTCCTTTAGGCCCACTCTACCTCCCAGCATCCACAGAATTTGTTATATTTGACAAAATTTGGATTAGGCCCATCTATTTTTTCTTTTCCAAGGTAGACATTCTTCTGAGGAAATAAGCAACCTCTTGGCAGTACAGTAGTTTCGCTTCCTGAGTCACAGCCCCTTTGTTTCACTCAAACACGTTCCCACAGTACCATCAACACCTATTATGGCACAGCAAAGAGTACCACAGTGCAAAAAGGCAGAAAGAATATGGGGCTACTGTATCATATAGAATGAGAGTAGAACCAATGGGTGACAACAGTGAAATAAGTCCTTGTCCTTCAGGCAGCACAGTACAAGTGCAGAACATCTCTTATTCCTTTTCAATCTGTGTGGAGTTCAGAAGTATCACATGTTTGTTATTCTGAAAACTATGGACTTTCTCTGTTTTATCTTCTTGTTAGCACTACTGACACAAATGCTTTCACCTGTGTATAATCAGTGAATATACATATGTCATAACTATGAAATAAACAGGAGAGTTTGGCTAAGCAGGTTACTATACCAAAAAGAAAATAGAGTGCTTACCCTTGTCCTGGGCTCGCTGTAAAACTCCAAAGGAGGGATCTCCAGAAGAGACCTTTCCCCCCTGGCAGTCAGTTTTTAACTGGGTCCAGGAGAGGTGCAGCCAGGCTCCCCCCCTTCCAGCAGCACGGGTGAATTGCCTTCAGCTGTGCTCCCAGGGCTGACTCATGGCTCGCCTCAGGTGGTCAATCAGAGGTTCAGGCCCTGATTCTGCTGTTCCCATACACCTGAAATAACAACACTGTGGTGTGCCCAGAAGCTTCTGAGAAGAAAGTTTTCTTGATTTCATTAGCATTAATTAGTCAGTAGTCCATGTTAACTAACATCTTGAGTGCAGTACTTCAACTGGGAGCCCTCTTGCACATCAGGAAAGATCTGGTCAACCTGCCTGGTGATTATGTTTACTATATTTAAAGAAATAAGAGAAATACAATTCTGTCACCATTAGCCATTTTGTTTTCAGGCCCTTGTTTCATACACATCCCAAACACAAAAATGGCCTTTTTCTGGCAGTGTTAGCCAGGAAGGTTTTTTCGTTTGGTCTAGCAGAGGCCTTATGCCTGACATTTGGAAGAAAATGTTCATTTCTTGCTTCTATCAATGTGCCCTTCATGGCACCATAGCAGGAGGTAATAGCATCCTCATTCAGTTGTGTGCATGAAGTGGTAAGGTACTTTACATCATTCTCACCATTGAGACACTTTCTCTGCTAAAACTAACAGATGAAATATGCCTCTTTAGTGATTAAATCCTCCAGATTCTATATTTAACAGACTTCTTTTAATGAAATTAGTATTTTCTTTTTATAGATTATTCACTGTGCTGTGCAGTCCTTACTTCCATAGTTTTAGTCTGATTATTAACTTGGATCAAATATAATCAGAATGTTGTTTTGAGAAAAGAGTTTGATAATTTGCTGACTTCCTTCAGGCTATGAAAGAAAGCCTATAATATGATTCCCAGGGAATACAGCATGTATGACCTTGGCAAGTAATTGACAAACCTCGCATAAGCACCTACTCTTCTATATGATATTGCAGGATCATATTTGCAAAAAATGCCCGAGCTAGCAGGAGCCACCAGCATTAATAAAAGCCGTTGTTGCAACAAAGGAGGCACAAAAACACAGCATGCAATCTATGTCATCTTGCAGTAATGAAAAGCTCTGGAAACAGATTCTTCACAGCGGTCATTTTCCATCTTAACGCTTTTTTAAAAGCTGTTGTAAATTGGAGTTAAAATTTCTGTGTAAATATGGGAAACCACAAGGTTTACCTACAAAACCAAAACTTACCATTTTGCTCAGATAAATGCTGCTCAGCCCTGAAAGATGTGTGCCTCCATTCCCAATTACATTACATC